CCCATGGCTGCCCCACCCCGCAGCTCATGTGGACCAGATCCGACGGCTCACCAGTTAACTATACAGGTATGATTAGTATGAATTTCATCTCATGTGTTTTGTGCAAATTTTATTTTGTTATTATTTTTCAAGGCAGGGTTTCTCTGTGTAGCTCTGGCTACTAGCTCTGTAGACCAGGCTGGCCTTGAACTCAGAGATCCGCCTGCCCCTGCCTTGGCCTGCCCCTGCCTTGGAGTGTTGGGATTAAAGGCATGCGCCTCCAAATCCAGCTTTTTTTTTAATTGCTAGTTAATTCTTATGACATCAAGACTTATAATGTTGTTTTATTTTCAGTGATGGGAACTGAGCCCAAGGCATTCTAGGCAAGTGCTCTGCCAGCAAAGTCATACCTTTAGCCTAGAAATTTTGTTTCAATGCTTAGAATCTAACCCAGGGCTTTCTGTACTATAATTCTTAGTTCTCTGGACACAAGGGATTTCAAGAGTACATTTTACTGATCAATATTTTCTCACTTCATGTAAATACTTAGAAAATAATTAGACCATAGAGTTATTTTCTTGCCTTGTGTAGAATTTGCATGTAAAAGTAAATAATTGATTGCTACAAAGACTTTTGTCTTTTCTGTTACCTTGGATACACACACTTTAAAGTGCAAAACCTTGGAAACATTTTTAAAAAGACTTTCATACAAATTTTGAACAACTCTATTTAAATTCTAAATTACACAGAGAGCCCACTATGGGGCAGAAATATAACTTTTAGAAATATTAATTATATAGACTTTTTCAAACCATGTGATGATCAGGTCCAGGCTTCAGCCTACTTAAGCAAAGATAGGATTAGTCTTGGGACTCTTCAAAATACAATTTACATTGAAATTAAAAAAATAAAACTTGATGGCATAAAGAAATTAAGGTCTAGCATTCCTATAGATTGCTGGCAGATGGCCCACAGTTTAAACTACTGAGTTCACATCCCGGCTATTGGTACCCTGCTTTATGTAATACTATCCTTCAGGAAGCTTCTGTCCTGGTTTCAGATAAAATTTTAGTGTTTAACTAACAAATACTGCAATTGGCTGCATATTTCTATATATTACTCTG